CAGCTTTTTATCAGAAGTCATGTTTTGGGGCAGTTAGATGGCACGGTGGATACAGCACGGACCCTGGAGTCGGGAGGACCTGAGTTCAAATCCAGCTTCAGACACCAAACTCTTGACACTTACTAGCTGTGTGACCCTGGGCAAGTCACTTAACCTCAACTGCCTAAAAAAAAGGTCATGTTTCTCTTTGTGTAGATATTCACCATGTAGGAGGCAAAAAAATGACAAGCAAAAGTCAGTTGTTTCTCACTTCAACTCAATAGAAAGTTTTCAATTTGAATTCGTCCCATTTTTTTTAACCTAGTTCTGCATAATGAGTGGTAGCATGACTTAATTTCCTATTCATATTTGGGTACTTTCATTGTATTGAAGACCAGTTTGGTTGGGCCATTGAGATAAAGAAGGGGAGTAATATAAAATGGGTGGGACTAGGCTGTGAAAGTTTTTAAATGCCAAAGTGAAGAGTATATATTTGATCCTAAAGGTAATAAGGAGCCACTGGAATTTATCTAGTGGATGTTGAATGGGAAGGGAGAAGGGCCAGTGACATAGGCTGACTGGGAAAATCACTGTCAGCTGTGTGGAAGATGGCTTGGAAAGGAAATACTTGAGTCAGAGAGATCAATTAGAAGGCTACTGTAGAGTTCTAAGCAAAAGGTCTGAGGTTTATGAGGTGTTCAAAGAGGACTAGCATGTCTGGTATGAGAGCTTGCTGAGCCTTTTTCAGGGCTGCCCCTCTACTTTTGTGTCTATCTGGTACTCAAATCTCACCTGTGGCTCCAGGAAGCTAAAGCATGTACAGTGGCCACACCCCAGTAAACTGTCTCAGTGGACAGGCTAAACCAGGTTGAGGGTAACTGATGAGCCTCAAACCCATGGGTGAATTAAAGGGTTGTCCATCCCAAGCATGTGAGAATTCCCTCTCCTCCCCCCGGGGAAATGGATGGATGAGAACAATTTGTTCCAACAACCATAAAGACGGCTGAAGCAGGTGCTATGGAGTGCTTAGAGCTTGGTCAGACATCAAAGACACCAAGGTCATCCACTGCATCCTGGGCAATCACCAGTCATCTTGACTTTTGTCTTGCCATTGGACTCTGATGACTCAGGAAGAGAGAGGCTGATGACTTTACAACTCTGCCTCACTTAAATCCAATTCACCCAAAAGTCAAGATATTACCCCATGATGTCACTGGTCCTCATTGAAAACAAAGGACAAACAACGGATGAAAGCTTAAACAAGGGTGGCAGCTGTGTGAGTAGAGAGGGGACTGATGTAAGGGATGTTGTAGAGGTAGAAATGACAAGTTTTGGAAATGCATTGTATGTGTAAGTTGAACTTATGTGAGCAGTCAGGCTTCCATAGACTCCAAGGAAGCATTTGCTTCCTTTTTGGAGATCATTGGTGACTCCAGACTGTTCCCAATTGGCTGGTTGATTAGACAAGTTTTTGTTGCCTTAAGCTTTGCTGGATACTGTAGGGATTGCTTCATTATTTTGTATTTTTCATCTTTAACTTCCCCTTTCTATTTTCAAAATAGGCCACCACTTTCTTTCTTATATGTATCTTAAAATAAAGAAGTGACAGACTCTTGTTCAGTGATAGAGAAACAAAGTTAGGCAAGAATGTATTTTTCTGGTATTTTGAAAATTTAATCCAAAGGGTTTTAGAATCTAAGGCAGTGCATAGAGGGGTCCTGGCTCTTCAGGAGTTCAATGAACCAAGGAGTTCCCCCCATTACAAGGCGTTCCCCCCATTAGCCGAATTACTAGGCATAAATCATTGTTTGTAGGCAACTGATAGGACACAGAGAATTCTTAAAGATTGGTTTACTGAAGATAAACTACCCCCAATTCCTGGCCTGTAAAAGCAAGCTGGTTCCACACACATAATCTCTCTGATTTCTTCTCCACCATTTCCCTTGCACCTTCTTCCATAATACAATAAAAGTGAGAGAAAGATGGATTTCTGCACTCCATTCCCCATATAGGAACAGTAATGTTGGTTTACAAATCATGTGACCACGGTATACATGTTTGCATCTGTATGCAAGCATTCCTAATCAGGAAGAGTCTTCTAGGAAATTCTTTCTGAATAGACGAGGTGAAGATTTTGAACCCTTTAGGCAATATGATCTAGGCACCTATATTTCCAGGCAGCACTACCTTTGGGAGAAGCCTTGTCAGTATCCCCAAATTCCAGAGTACTAGAGGTTAATTGCTACAGCTAAATCTCCAGAAAGGGTAGAGGAAGCCAGAGTGGGAAAAGGGTGTTAAAGTTTACAACTGACTTTGAAGACAACAATGGCAACCTCTGCCTCTGTCTGCCTTTTGAAAAGTACAAATCTAGAGTTCAACTACAGAGCTACAGAAAAGATTGAAGAGAATGGAAGCTAAATACCTATGAAAATTCTCACTAAAAAGAACATACAACCCTACCTATGATTGAACCTCATTCTTCCTTTCACTATTAGGAAGAGACAACTCATTCCCAAATTAAATAAAACTCTCCTAACCTCCACTTCTTCAACATTTTCCCACTCAGTGGATTGAAGGAAAGAGTTGCTTTGCTAGAACTGGTAGTCTCTATGGGTAAAGCAGGTTCTCTTGTGTTACTTCAAAAATGATGCAATGAGATTTTCAATGGACTTGCTATATATGTGTTGTATGTGTTACTAGCATTGCTGCCAAGCTATTTACCCACCCCCAACCCCCACTCTCATCCTCTGGGACTTCATGTTACATGATCCATAAATTCTATAATCAGAGCCTGGGGCAAAGTCATTCATCTCCTGTGCAGGACAGCTTAGTTTTCCAACCAACCTTAAAACTTTCTGGCTGTCCAATATTAAGCTTCCCAGCTTGCTTCCTTTTTCCATGGAGTGGAAAAAAATGAATTGGCCTCATTACACTTAAAAGTGTCTAACTCAATTTTAACCTTTAAGTTATACAAAAATGTCATACAATATTTTGTTTTCATTTGTAGATGGTGAGAAAATGTGTTTAGCTTAAATGCTAGGAATCTGAGGGCCTAGAAGGTGAAAAATTCAAGAGTTATACCAATTTTCCCTTGCACGCCCACCCATGAACTCACTCAATTACATTTTCCTATTACACAAGTACATATAAACAAATAGAGTAGGATGTGAAAGTCAACACCATAAGGGCGTGCCAGTGTTTGCCATGTCTGTTCCCTGGGAATTGAGGTTGGGGACTAGTTTGGAGGTAGTATGTCTTAGCAATTCTTTGGCATATGTTGTTTCTTCCCACTAACTCTGTGAGTTTAAATTCTGGATCAGTGAACATATACAAGGTTTTTTCCAGAAGAAATTAGAGCTTAAAAGTACACTAAAATTTTTGGAACACCCTACATAGAAAAAAAAATATGTCACCACACTTTTATCTCAGCTCAGTTAGTTGGGGGTAGAAGAAAGGGAGCATTGGATTTGAAATATTATCTCTAGTGGTCTGCTCTAATTGTGATTCTCAAGAGGGCATTTTTTTTTTCTAGAAAGAGCATGCTTACTATAAATAAGAGTAGCACTCAGAGAAATTTAGGGAAAGAAACATTCTGTGAGAATCTGACAGCATGTAATGGAAAAGCAAGAGGAGAAGATCCAAAGAATCCATTCTGGGCCCATCCACAAATTACACTTTTCTCCAGAGGCTGCCTGAGTAGAAATTCCAAGATCTTATTTCCTTCTGAATTTTCCAGTGATAGTGTGTTCCCAACAAATCATCAGGACGTAATCAAATGCTGTGGAAAGCTTTATTTCTCAGGAAAACTTCTAGAGTGTAGACAAGGCAAGGATCTGGTATAAAGCTTAGTATATTTTTAACAAGTGTTCTTCTTGGCGTCGATGTAAAATTCAAATAGTTTACACATACCACAACTTATAAGCAATGTGTCAGACCCATAGCATTCAATTCCTTTTTCCAAAGATGTCAAATCAAATTGCTCTATTAAAGTAATTTCTAAAGACCTTTTTTTTTTCCAACTCGAAGGCAGAATTTGCCTGATGAGAAGGCACCTATGAGGAGTGATTTTTAGGGTACACCAGCTAGAGAAACTTGTATCTAGGTTGCCAGATACCAAAAGTATCTTTACTTCTGGCCTGACCTTAAAACCAAATTCCACTCTTAGCAACTTTTTCCTTCAGTCTTGAAGAGTTCCCAGTCACAATGTAAATTGACACGGTCATCTCTTACTTTATGGGTATTCACTTGCCCCACTGACAGCTAGGTGAGTGTAGAAGGGCCTTGGCACAGGGAATTAGCATGATGAACTGGGACAGTAGCGCCAGTGAAAGGGAGGTAGGTGATTTTAGAGAACGTAAGAAGGGTAAGGAAAAAGCTAGGTGGCACAGTAGATAGAGCAGCTAGGCCTGGAGTCAGGAAGAACTAAATTCAAATCCCACCTCAAACACTTTCTATCTTTGTGACCTTGGGCAAGTCACTTAACCTCTGTTTGCCTCAGTTTCCTCAATTATAAAATGAGGATAACAGTAGTGCAATACAAAGATAAAACATTTGCAAAGCACTTAGCACACTACCTGGCACATAATAGATGCAATATAAATTCTCTAATTGCTTTTATTTTCTAAGATTATCTTTGTCTCATGCAGCTTTGCCTTGAGCAATATCTTGAACAAACAAAGAGCCCTTGGCTATTAACCCTACCACAGACATCAGGGAAGAAACAGAGAAGACAGACTCCCAAAATTTATTTAAAATCTTTCATAAAGGTTTTATCATTATTGAGCAAAGAAGGAAGTGGAAGAATCTCATTTGCCTTATCACTGCTGCTACTTTATTATTTCTTGAGCCACAGATATTGGACCCCACATTTCTGGAATATTCCTGATGAAATGTTCTGAGGATCCTTGCTTTGAAAACTGCATTTCTTTTGTAGCTCGAGCTTCTTCATTTCTGCATCAAACGGCGTATCTAATTTCACTCCACCGTCATTCTGTCCCTCTCTTCTGTCTCTGTTCTTGCAGCCACTCGGGTACCAAAGGAGCTGAAATGAGAAAAAGGCAGCAGTCGCAAAATGAAGGAACATCTGCTATGTCTCAAGCCCCTGGAAACCAGAGGCCTAACAACACGTGCTGCTTTTGTTGGTGCTGTTGCTGCAGCTGCTCCTGGTATGTTACATTATCTCTTCGATAGCGTACGGAAGCTAGGTAAATAACGAGAGAGGACACATACCAGGTTCTGGACTCACAGAAATTGTCCCTCTGATACGTCTCTAATCTCTCCAGCTCCCCAAAGCCCCTTAAATGAAAGGGAAGATGTTTCTTTTCCACAAATAATTAATACAAATAGTGCTACCCTCAGTTTAATGTGCTATGTAAAAACTACAGAAATTTGAGCTTTCCTCATCTGAGAATGTAAAATTAATCTTAGTGTAGGGGGAAGGAAAATCTGTTCTTTTTTACTTAGCTATGCTTCTGAAAGAAATGGATGAGATGTCTAACCATTAGGCAGGCATCCAGCATTTATTAAGCACTTACTGTGTGCCAGGCACTGTGCTGGGGAAACAAAAGGTAAGCAAAAAGAAAGACAATCGGGGATCTCAAGAAGCTTCCATTCTAACGGAGGAAGATAATACGCAGAAAGAAACGGAAACGGGGTGGTGGAAGTGGGAAGGCTTGATGTTTACTCCTGAGAAAAGCACAGTATGGAGAGAAATAAAGCCTGGTCAGTCTAGGCCCCTCCCCCAAGTGGAGACACACTAGGAGGAATTCACCAGAAGAGAAGGGGGTGGGCATGGTAAGTTTTCATGGCTGTTTCAGGGGCAAGAAGGTGCTGAGGGAAGTTCTAGGATAAGACAGCAGCTTGAGCCTCAAACTTTCAAATAAGCAATCCAAAATAAACGCTTAATGATGCGCAAACTATGTACTAGGAGAAAGGCACATATACTTAACTCAGAAGCACTTGAACCCTTCCAGGCCACAAGCGGACCATCAAAAGAATGATTCTCTAACAATTCAGTGCCTTAGGAGGCTAACGCTAATTCCAGCAGCTGCATGTTTAATTTTTAAGTGTGTACCCAGGATTATAGTGCAAGCTAAGGTGTTCCTTAAGAGTAAATTGGCTGGTACGTAGACAGATATTGCTAGTAAACAACTGTCTCTCCAGAAAAAATGTACATACAACATACTTTTAAGTTCAATCTGAATTATTAATATTTTTTCAGTCACTTTCTTGTCTAGACAATCAGCAAAACAAAAATAAATCATGCCCTGACTTCTAGTGTTTGCTGGTTTTCAGGGTGTAAAATGCTGTTGCTGAAAATTTAACAGAGGACTTGAGAGTGGATTCAGGCTGCCACCAGAACAGCCCTGGAAGTAGGCTAAGACAAGATAGGTAGGCCAGGAAAACCTAATGAGATTTGGAGGAGGAGTCCAGGAGCCTAGGTTCCAGTTGGTGAATCCTACTACCTGGTTATAAATATCTTTTGGTTTTAGTTCCCTGATTTGCACATTAAAAAGATAAGGCAAAATCCTCCCTAAGTTCTAACTCTAAAAGTCTATGATCCAACCATCTCTGTCAGTCATAGATAATGCTTCACCCAGTCCACTCTACCTTCTCATTTTACAGCTGAGGTGATTGGAGCACAGAGGAGTAAAGCAATTTGTCAGGTGTCATTGGTAATAGGTAATGGAGTTCTAGTTTGAATGCAAGTCTTCTGACTCCAAACTCCTCTACCCTTCTGTTTTAGCTTCAGAAGTCTAAATCACCTTCAGGTGAGTGAGAGGATTCCAGAGTTGAAATAAGAATTTTCATTTTCTCAGTTGAAATCCTCAGAAGGATCTGAACTGAATGGATCTTCCCTGGAGTAATGACTTTATTATGAAGTCTTCAGGAGGCTCCCTAATTAATTTACCTAAGATCTAGCATCAAAGACCAACTTTTGGGACCCAAATTGTGCTTTCTTTGGACCACTTTGATTATGTTTGAGATCTGTAAGAAGATCCCAGATGCTTGGAAGTCATCTTAAATTTTATGTGTCTAGCATGGTCTGAAGGAATATCTCCATGGTTTATTGACAGTTATGGAGATTTTCGTGTTCAGTTGCAGGTGACACTATAATATGTAAAGAAAAGTAGGATTTGGTGACTGATAGCCATTTCCGGATGATGACAAGGCACTAGCCTGGTCTAGAAAATTACTGCTTCATTATTCTCAATGGCACCTTTGTGCCAATCTGAATGATTTTATGTGATTTCCAAATGTGCTTTACATACTTCCCAAATGTCTGATTACAAGGGAAATGTGGGGAAGGAATGATGTCTAATGTATACATCCTTGACACTTAATCTCTGACTGCTTCGGGTTTAAGGAAAATAAATCTTAAGAGTGGATAGAAACACCCACTATAATTATTTATTTCTAGTAAAAAGGGGTAAATTTTACCTGATCTTCTCTAGCTCAGTGGAACATTTTATGGATTATTTCCAATTTTAGATCTCAAAATTAGTGTTTCCTTAAAGGGGACTGACCGGGAATGCCTGGTATTCATATATTCCTGTGTCACAAGGCTAAGATTTGTGACTTACAGAAATCATAACAGAAGGGAAAGATTTTTTTTTCAGAATTCTAGATAAGTATAATTATAGCTAACATTTTTATTGTTATAGCTCACAAGAGACATTGAAGTATAATAAATGAGCTATTAGAATCTAGCAGAGCTGAGTTTGAATCTTGTCTCTGACACTTACTAGCAGTGGGACCCTCTTTGAGCCTCAGTTTCTTCATCTGTAAAATGGGGATGATAATTAATACATATTTCACAGGGCTACTGTGAGATTCAAATGAGATAACATATATAAATCACTCTGCAAAATTTAAAGCATTATATAAATGTGAACTGTTACTTAAGTAATAATCATGTAAGGACAAGAATTATACTCATATTTTTCATTTTCTGCCCAATGCCATATGCCAGAGTAATTTATTTCAGTGGCCAATAGACTATCTTACTTTTCTGTCCAAATTCTATTTTGTAACTTTCTAAGACAAATCTATCAAAACGCAAAAGTTTTAGTTATTTCTGAGGGTGTATGTACTCAAAACTAGAGCAAGTTTGTAGTTAGAACCATAGTTTCATAAAGTTAAGAGAGACCTTAAATGTCATTTGGTCCAACCTCCTACCTAATGCAGGCAGACTTTCTATATCATCTCTGACAGATAGAGAGCCATGACGACTGATGCCTTGCTTCAAAGTCAAGAAATAGTCTTCAGATTGTATACAGTTGGCACATATTTGGTGAGGACTGTGCTTATTCATATTCAAAGAAGATTAGGGATACAAAAGATACTTTTTCATACACATAATTTATTCCTGGGAGTAAATCAGGAATTTTTGGAGCCTTCTTTGCATTCTTCTAAGCTACTAGCAAAAAATCCAGAAAATGGACATTTGTTGCCCTAAAAAGTGCTATTACATTCCAGTGAGTGTGCACTCCTTACAACAATACCCCCTGCAATATTCCTGACAGATACCGAGCCAGGTTGATCCATATCTTTTTTATGTGAAGTCAAGAAATGTGTACTAGAGAAACATTGTCAGAAATAACATGTATGCCAATGAATCTGGTAGGGAAGAAGAATGGCCCAATTTATATTACAAAAATTAATAAATTCTTATGTGCATGGTAGTATCTAGTTATAGTACAAGGAACAAAGAGGGCAAGGGAAAGGGAAAAGATGGCCTAAGCCAAATGTATCTTTTAACATTTACCAAATACAGAATAAGGCATCTTATTATAAATGAAAACAGTTCTTACTCATATTTTTTTAAAATAACATTACTTTTAAAATCTGACTGGGAAAAACAGTTTCATTAAAAGTATTCCTGACTTTAAAAAGAGAAATGTTCTTCAAATTTTCCAGGCTAGGTCAAAGGATCAGAACAAAAAGAAACAATGAAAAATGCAATTTAGGGACTCAAAAAAGTTAGGATTCAGATTATGAAGTAATTGTCATTTATGAAAACAAATAGTTGTCATTTAGTGGATTTTATTTCCTTTTAAGGAAATACGGTGCTAGAGAAATCCTGCTAATAAATACAAACATGTTCTATCAGCCTTATATACCAATAGCTTGTGGGGTGAGGAAAAATATTTTTTGTCTTAATCAAAATTTAATACCTGAATTTGCATTTCCCCTATTATTGCATGCCTAGAATCTCCCATTTCTAGCCAAGTCCTTTTGCTTTTGATATTAGCTTGGAGAATATGTCTTTGGCTATTGAAACTCAACTCTGTTTTCTTGTGGAGACAAAATTGACTAAGGTGGAAGGGGGTGAAGAGGGTGTGTTTTACAAATGCTCTAATACTTACCCTGGTTTACTCCCTCAAGAAGGCTACTCCCTAGGCCTCAGACCAAATCATCTACTTCCCCCAATGACAGGGACAAAGGAAACCTGGGTCAAGTATTGAGTCTGCTATTCACTTGCTGTGTGGGCAAATCAATTTACCTATCTGGGACTCAGTTTCCTCATCTGTAAAATTAAGGTTCTGGATTAGATGGTTTCTAGGGACCCTATTAACTCTTAACATTCTATGATTCAGCAGTTGGGGTTCTGCCTTTTCACTTCCTCAAGGCAAAACATAACATGTATTTCTGACCACCAAAGGGATTTATCCATTTGAAGGCCTAGTCCATAATGGTATATCTGAGAGTAATGAACCAGATTGCCCCTATAGCTGCTTCCTTCTTCTTCTTCTTAGGGCAGATTGGTTTGATAGGAGTTTCAGACTCATCTTAACCTTATTAGTTCAGTTAGTCTGTTCCTATGTATAACTGGGACAAACTAGACCACTAACAGTTGTTACAGCCACAGAAATCAAATGTATCCAACAGAATTCAAGGAAACAGAATTTTAAAATTATATTTTAAGCTTGATTTTCTTTAAGCTATACCTCAATTGTTCTAGATTCTGTGCTAATTTGTCTAGGTACCTGTTTACAGCATCTTATCCCATTTCCATCTCTAACTTATCTGCTACACTAAATCAGTAGGGTTTGGGGGGGTGGGGGTGGGGAGAAGTGTACTGAAAGGAAGGACTTCTACCTCTGCATATCTGGGTTTGATCTCTTAGCCCCATAGATCTGGAATCATGATTATCATGTGTTGT